CCTGCCACTCAAGCTGTTTACAGTGCTTTTCGAATGTCGCTGCATGGAAGTCTCACAGTTTTGAGAGGTGCATGAGCAGTAAATCCAATATGACTTAGAAAAGGGCTGGCATCTTCCCCCACCAAAACGCTAGCACCTTCAGAAATGCAACCTTCTAACTGCACATAGTGAAACCAGGAGAGCTCACGGCCCCTCGCTGCAGAGCCCAGCAGGCACAAACCCCCAGGCACCACAAGGAGCATCCATGCCTCTCACTGTGGTGAGATGTTTTAGAGCATGTGCAATGCCATGCTGTGCTGTTAGGAAGGAAGGTATGCTCCCCAACCTGGGACACCCCATAGCTGGGACCTCTGCAACTCCTCTTCCCTCCTTTTTTCCTAGCGATGGCTATCTGCTTGCACGAGCTGTTGTGTTGGAGTGGATTTTTCCCAACCAAATAAGCTCCTGCATCAGGAGTGCACGCCGCAGTGGTGTCACCGCATCCTTGCCTCGGTGGCACTCTCTTCCCTGGGCACCCTCACCTGGCACTGCCAGAGGCAGGACACCAGGTTGTGCAAGACTTTGGGACCAACCCAGCATGCCTCCACCACCCTCCGCCCGCGGCGTAGTATTTCCTCCTCTGTGCAGTGCGGTCTGTGGTTGCGCATGCGACTGACTCTGAGAGAGCATTGCAATTGTGCTTAAACCTGCAGGGGAAAGCGCAGCTACTGGGTCTATCGCCGGCTGCCTGTACGGCTTGGTTTATGGCCTCAGCAAGGTCCCCAAAGGCTTGTACCAGGACCTGGAACAAAGGGAGAGGCTCGAGTACTTGGGCGAGAATCTTTACCGACTATCCATGGAGGAAAAGTAAAGCGGTTTCTGCCATTTTCTTTTTTTCTATAAAGACTATATCAAACCGTGTAGATAACTGACTGATGTTCATAGCAAAGGAATTAGCTGAGAGCTGGTCTGAAAGGCTGTATGTAGATGGTGTGTGAGTGAAGATAGATGAATTATTCAAGACTGATTAGATATTTACAGTCTTTTGTGGTTTTTTTACAGAGGTAGGGATTTCTGAGTATGCTTAAACAACTGAGATAATCTCAAATGGAAAAAAATAAATAAAACTTTTTTGGATTGATTTCAGTCTAACTTGCTATAATACCACTTTCTAAGCAGCTGTGACCAGTAATTACACATACAAAATTAATTTTCAGAACTAATGCTTTCCTGCAAAACTAATGGTAGTACATCCTTACGGGGATATTCTCTGTATATTTGACAATCCTTTCACCACTGCTGTCCCTCCTTGTTCTCAAATCTAATGTGTCTGTGACACTTGTAAACCTAATGTCTCACGGATTAGCTTTTAAATGAACCACTGATCCCCACATCAGCACTGTGGTGCAAGGTATTGTTACATTAGAAGCTTCCAGAAAAGGAAAAGCCAACACTAAAAATACCCCCAAGGAACAGCAAAGCATCGGTGTGTCTAAAATTTCTGAATTATGCTTTTAGCATTCTTTAGTCTTCAAAACACTTTTTTTTTAAATATAACTGGCTGAAATACTTGTAAATAAATTAATCTTACACTATTTTCTAAGCATCATTCTTTATTTTTAGATTGAGTAGATTATGTGTTGCTGTATCAGTATCAGAATTTTTGGCTGAGATCTTCAAGCAGTTGTAATAGGTCAGCAGTCAGGCTGTGATACATTTCACAAGTCTGAGCACCACAAAAACCCCAGGAAGAAAACAGTTATAACTACTTTACCTTTTTGCTTTTTCCTTTTTATTTTTCTGGGTTTTTTTCCCTTTTTTCCCTTTTTTCCCTTTTTTCCCTTTTTTCCCTTTTTTTCCCTTTTTTCCTCTTTCCTCTTGCCTTGCCTTGCCTCACCTCACCTTGCCTCACCTCACCTCAGCTCGCCTCACCTCGCTTCACCTCGCCTTGCCTCTTCTCTCCTTGCCTCTCCAACTTCTTTTCATTTCTTTTTTCTTTTTTTTCTTTTTCTTCTTCTTTTTCTTTTTCTTTTTCTTTTTCTTTTTCTTTTTCTTTTTCTTTTTCTTTTTCTTTTTCTTTTTCTTTTTCTTTTTCTTTTTCTTTTTCTCCTTTTCCTTTTTCTTTTTTTCCTTTTCCTTTTCCTTTTCCTTTTCCTTTTCCTTTTCCTTTCCCCCCACCCAAGGAAACCAACAAGCTATGATTCAGTTTAGAGGTGTATACAGCAGACAAAGTAAACAGCAGACCTCAGTGAAGGAGATTCTGATGCACCTGCAGAAGCAGGGGCAGAAATCTGGAATCCTCAATGAAATGACACAGAATAAGTGAGTGCAGAATCTGTCCCTGGTGTTTAACCTTATGTTTTATCTAAGTTCAGAAACTGAGGTCTACATAGCACTTTCTAATCTCCACTGTGAGTGATTGGCTACATGGTGTTGGTTTCTCCTATCTTTCTCCAGCTGCTGAACTGCATTTTAAAAAGCTGTCTAAAAATACACAGGTACTTTCCTTTTTCCTTACCCCTTTTTCCATGTAAGCAATTGCTGGAATCGTCACTGGGATGCTATGTGGCAGAAAGAGGAGCAGGTGATCCCTGTCATTATGAATAGCAGCCTGCATGACAATATGCATATGAAAAGGTTTTCCGTACTATGAGCTACTTCAAACACTGTTTTAGCATGTTTTCTTTTTGCAGCTTTGCAAGGTGCTTTCGTGTTTGCTTTGGAGATATGTTAAACCAAAAGGAGCATTTGTGTGTCAGTAGCTTTTTATTTAGAGAATGCTAAGACTTTCTAAAAACATTCCTTCTAGTTTAGGATGTCTCTAGCATGCCTGTAATAAATTCAGCAATAGAGAAGAGAGAAGAACATACCCTGCATTAAGGTAGGATTTTCTCTAGTACTTTGGCTTTTCCTCTTCCTTTAGAAAA